CGGGGGGCTGCCCTCCCCCCCTAGCAGCCTCTGCCCCCCACCTGGGCTCACCTGCCCCGGGGCCCAGCAGGCAGCTTTGCCTGGGGCTCAGGAGCTCCTCGGGGGTCCAGGGAGTGCCGGCCGCTCCCTCAGACTGACTCCATTTGAAAAAGAGGCCTTGCCGGTAGAGATGTGGGGTCAGGGTGGCCAAGTGCTGGGAGGCCAGAGAGGAGCCCCCGCTCAACCCAAAGCCCAGGGAACCGGCCTGGGCAAGGTGAGGGGTCCTGCCAAACAAAGACGGGGCTGTCCTGGTGCCAAGAGGGGTTTCTCCACACCCTCTGGAGGAGTCTGCAGAGCACGGGCCTCCACCCCCACGCCCCATCTGCACAGAAAGCGCACTGTGTCAGAAGCCTTGCAGGGATGCCGGGCTGGGGGGCCGAGGGGGCGGGTGGCTCCTGGGATGGCAGAGTCCTGCACACGGTGGGTCTGGCAGCTGCTCGCCCGTGGCAGAGCCACCCCGGATTCCAGCCGAGGGCTGGCTGTGCTGCACTCGCACAAGCTGCTCAGCCAGATCCAGATGACCAGGTTACGACTCAGTGCGACATGTGTAGAGAGGCTGGAGAGGCTCAACGGAGGCTGGAGGGGGGTGCTGCCCAGGGGAGCCCGGCTGGCCTTTGCAAGGGAAGGAACAGGTTTTCTGTCCAGCAGAACTCCTGACCGGAAGGATCTTGCTCCCGATTCCTTGTTCTGAATAAGTGGGATGGGTCTGGCTATAAACGGAATTGCCCCATTTGACCCCTTGCTGCTGTGGGTTCCTTGGTGATGGTTAATTCTTCTGCTGGCCTCAAGCAGCTACTGAAAGCCCCACTTCAAAGAGAACTTTTGCATTTAGCACTAGCAGGGGAGAACCTGGCTGGCTGGCTCTGGCCCGGCACCTCCCCGAGCCTTGTGCAGCCGTGAACGTTGTGGCAAAGGATCGTGAGGGGCTACCGGCTGCAGCTGGGACTTTCCCTTTGAGGTTCTCTCTTGTGGTTCCTTCCCACAATAGCTGTTCCCTTCCCCACCTTCCAGGCCCCTCTCTGAGGCAGTGGCCAGGCGGGCAGTCAGGTGCCTGCTGTCGCCAACGGGGCCCGTAAAGTGCTCCTCGTGGAGCAACAAATAGGCCCGGTGCCGGTTCCTTTTCAAATTGTCAGTGCTAAAATGCCACCCCTGCCTGATGCACGTTTTCAGGGCTGCTGCAAAACAGCAATTTACCTCCCTGCTAAATTTAGGAAGTTAGCCACAGGAGGGGAGAGCCGAGTCTTTCTCCAAGTGGTGTGTCTGGGAGAGCGTTCGAATGCCTCTGATGTGCCTCTGTGATTTTGGCGGAGTCCGTGTAGGGGTGCATGATATCTTATTTGCACCTGTGAGATCTAAAAGCTCACTTCACCATGGGGAAGCTGTGCTACAGGAAGTAAATTCTGCAAATTACTTTATGCTGCATTGCGAGAGAACCCAGAAGATGCGTGTTCAAAACTGACTAACACCTAGAATGGTTCCCTTTCCCAAGATCAAGATTTTGACATACATATCTCCCAAAAGCTTGACCCCAACATACCTACCTTTGTTTATTTTACTTTATTTCTCTAATTGATCAATTGTCCTCCACCCCGAAATTTTCCCAGTAAGGTGCGTGTATTAAAATAGGACAAATACTATGTAATTTTAACAGTAAATTCCAGAATAAGAGTTAAAATCTATCTGAAATTTCCCAGAGGTGAAAACAGGAGAGCCAAGCTGGGGTCCAGGCAGAAGAGTCAGCAAACCAGGGAGGTCTGCCAGGGTCCAAGATGCCCCAGCTGCAAAGCCTCGCAGGCTGTTAAGGGTTGCTTCCGTGGAGGAGCCCCTCCCAGATTCATCACAGCGGGGCTCGGTATCCTGTCTTATCAGCTGGGATACCTCCATCCCGATCTGGCAGCAAGGCCATCCAGGCGCACCAAGGCACCCTCAAGTGGACCTCCTTTCCAAGGGCACACCACTTCATAGCAGCTCTTCTTTACCTTCGGATATTTGAGGCTGCACTAAGTGAGTCCCAGTCAAGCCCGGGGCCCAGAGACCCCGCTAGGAAGGACCAATCCTGGGCCTGGTTGAACGGGCCCGGCAGGCTAGGCAGGATCAGCGGCCATCTTCCTCCTCCTCTTCAGCTGAGGCCGTGGCCATGCGCCCAGAACACCACTTTCTCAGACGCAGGAGCCGCTGACCCCCAGGGCCTCTGCCTTCAGCTTCCCGCTTCTCACGCATCTCCTGCGAAGAGCAGATTAAGCCGTCGCCCCTTCTGGTTCCCCGTGGCCTCCGTTCCGTGAGCACTATCAGTAGGAGTCACGCTTGCTCAGCCAAGACGTGCGTGGTTGGAAGGAGGGTGTTCTTGAGGTGTCCACTGTGCACCCGTAGCTTCGCGCCCACCGTCCCTCCCTCCCCTCTTTCGAAGCCTCCTCAGGCATCTCCCTCACAGCCTGAGACCCTCTAGAAGGTGGGCTGTTGCCCTCCTCTGAGCCTTTGATAGCCAAGGGGAACCAAAGCTTGGAGCAAGGGGCCTTCAAAACGCACCCTTTTTATTGCAGGGTGTTCACTAGCTGCCTTCCAGTCAGCAAGCGCTGGGGCGGCCATGGCCCTCCGCGGGCCTTGAGAAGGGGAGGTGCTGGGACTTAGTGGGAGGGGAAGCGGTGGGTCTGCAGAGGGCCTGGGGTGGTCGGAGTGGTTCAGTCACTGGGTATACCGTTGACTGGCCTCCCAAATCTCCTGAAGCAGTGCGCTGCTAAGTAGCTGCCGTCAGAAGAAGGCGTGGGCCGTGACGCGGCCCGGCTACGATTCTTCCTTGGTGGCGGCCCTTGCAGCAGCGAGTTCCACCCCGGCCAGGGGCCGCCCGACGCACCTGGCGCGGACGCGGAGGCCGGGGGCTGACGCTTCTTCCTCCCTTTGCTTCCGCCCCAGTTCCGCTACAAGAGGCGAGTCTACTCCCAGACCCTGCTGGACGACAAGCAGTTTGCCAAGCTGCACACGAAGGTAAGCGACCGCCTCGATCTTGCCTGCCCCTCAAGGGAGAGGGATCCCCTGGCTGCCTTTGCTTCATCCCACCGGCCAGTACCCGGAGGCCAGTGGCTGGGCTGGGCTGGGCCGAGCAGGAGGTGGTCCTCTGCAGTCCCTCCCCTGCGGCAGCCAGACCCCCTCCCACTCAAGGGAGCCCCATTTCCAGGGGCAAGAGAGAAGGGATGTGCGGAGCCAGGCAAGCCTCGAGGGACCCCCAGATCTGCGGCCGAGCCCCGGCTCCCTTTGCCGTGGTCTTTTGGGGGTCTGAAGGGTGAGCCGGGAGCAGCCCTGCTCCCAGTGAGGGACTGGCTGGCCCCCTGGGGCATCTCCTCCCCAAGGCTGCTGCCTGGCTCCACCTGGGGAAGCTTCTCCCCCGGGCCGGGGGGCACGTGCGTGCCGGAACGGCTGAAATTGGGCTGCCGTGGGCGGAGTCAAACGAAGGAGGCGCGCCTTCCCTTTGAGGCCAGAGCAGCACGGCCAGCTTGGCTCAATGGGGGTCCAAGGCTGGGGGACGGGAATCGTTTCCCTCCCTTGTGAGGGAGGACAGGGAGCCCGGGAACTTTTAATCAAAGCTGGAAGCTGCGGTTGCTGCGAGAGCAGCCCAGGTGGCAGATGCCAAGCCAGCAGAGTGAGGAAGCGATCTCCCTGCAGGGCCGGTGCATCCAGATGGAGCCTCCAGCCCAGGAGGGGAGGCTGGCAGGCAGGCAATCTGCCCCTTTTCAAAACAGGGCTCCCACCCTTGGAAGATCCAGGTGGGTAGCTTCTCCTGAGGCCGATGCCACCCAGAGGGCTGGATTTGTATTTCCATCGCCCCGCAGGGCGTGGGCCCGTCACAAAAGCGCTCCCTCCGCCTGGTCAGAGGAGGGTCCCGCTGCATCAGCCAGGGCAGGCCCTCGAGCAACGCTGGCCCTCACGAGGCTCCTTGTCCTCCCCCACTTCTTCTGTTTTCCTTCCTTCAGCAACCCCCTGAAAAAGGCCAAGCAAGGCTAAGCTGCCCATTGGCCAAGCAAGCATTTGGGCCCGCCCCCAGCATCCATTAATGGACCTGAGGGGGAGATGTTGAGCCAAACGGGGGGAAGGAGTTGGACAGCAGGATGCTCAGGAGCCAGTCCCTCGCCTCTCATATGGACAGGGGCTTCTGCCCAGAACCTGGAGCTGCCCAAATCCTGCCTGCCCCACTCCATAAGCCCCAGCGGCTGCAAGGAGACAACTTCAGTGATGGGGGTCTGGTCTCGGAGTGGTCCTCCGAGAAGTCAGGGAACTTTTCCAGCACACTTTTCTTCAGCGTGCATCGTGCGGCAGAGGAACTTCTGTTTTCAGTGGTACGAGGCTGGCTGTGCTCAGTGCGGAGGGGAGCGTCACTGGGAAGTGAATGCCAATTTCAGAGTCTGTTCCTAAGAACCCTCTTTTATTTACTCCATCACCAATTATTGCCACTTTGCCCACTGACACTGTGCTCTTTTCCATCAAAACTGCACCGAGTTAAAGGTTTGCATTGAGTTAATGTTGCAGATATTATCAGAAAAAAATATTCTCAGAAATGCCTCATGGATGCATCATTCAGCAGTGATGCAAGGCAGGTTTTGGACTATCCCTTGCCCAGATATGCTGAATATTGTGGTCCTGGAGAGCTGTCAAACTCTTTTTCATTAAAGGAGTTGATTAAAGTCACAGGGCTTTTCATACTGATTTTATATCAGATTTTGTGTTGACTTTCCACAAAGATGTTGCAGTAACCATGCCCAGAAGAGCTATTGAAAGGTTGGTGCATCACATGGTCAGAAGAGCCTTGAGGAGAAAACACCTCCAGGCCATGCTACCTGAGAGGCATTGAGGCCATCCAGTTCCAATTTGGGGGGCCACAAAACAAGAAAGTCCTTCTCTCTCACCTCTGCTGGTGCAGAGAGAGCCCCTCTCTTCTCCAGTGGTCTTCTCGGTGGTCTTCTGGGGCCTGGAGATATCCCATTTGAGGTGGCCCCACTGTCACCCAGAGGGTAGTGCTGCTTGTAGGAGCAAAACAGTGCATGGAGGGACCCTCTCAGTAGAGGAGGGTCAGAGTCTCACAGGCGTATTATATTTTGGTCTCAGGTTTTTATGTACATCAACATTTGTGGGCTAAACTCACTTGGGATGATCCACCCAGGGAATTTCTGTCCCCAGCATGACCCCCATTTGCCCAGCGGATAGAAATGGGGTGCCTCCATCAGGCCTTTGGCAAAGGGTCAGGGCAGTGTGGTGGCCAGAGCGCTGGGCAGGGGAGTCCCTGTTTCGAGTCCTTACCTAGCCCAGAGTGGACTTAGGCAAGTCACCCCCTCCAAGACTGCCCCACCCCACCCTGGGCTGTTGAGGTTGTGAGATGGGAGCAGAAGGCCTTGGTGTGCCAGCCTGAGTTCCTGATGAAGGGTGGGAGACTAAAGCAAGTCATGCAGTCAGAGATTTTCTGCCTTGCAATAATATCGACTGTTTCCACCGCCACTCCTTGCCTTGTGGATGTGAGGTGCCCCCTTGCTGCTCGCTGCTTTGGGCTCCTGAGTGGGGCAGAGGGGGGGCGGCTGGAGCTTCTAATACAAAGGGACCCCCATAAAGCACACTGGGCCACCTGGCCACCCTCCCTTTGTGGCCTTTGGCAGCCCAGGGAGCTCCTTGATGCTGCAGCTGACCCCGCCGGCCCTGGCGGCTGTGCTGGCTGAGGGTCCCACGAGTCCCCGCCTCAAAGTCCTTCCTGAGCTGAGGGGGCCGGCAGCATGCAAGCAAGGCGGGGAGGCTGAGACAGCTGGCCAGAGAAGCAAGCAACAGGCAGACTTCAGCTTTCCTTGGCTTTACAGACCTGCGAAAGTTGTAGATGTGAGGGGTGGTTGTAAATGTGAGGAATGATCACAAAGTTACTTTTTCATCACCGTCGTAACTGCGAACGATTGCTAAGTGAGGCAGTTGCTGAACAAGGACTACCTGTAGTTACTCTTCATTAGTGTTTTGCTGAAGTGAGGTTTGGTAGTGCACTGTTCAGCCCGTTCTGGGAACCTAGACATTGTCTTGGCAGATGCTGAGAAAGTTGCTCTCCAGTGGGGTATCTTGTTTAGGAGTGAGATATTCTGGGCAAAAGCAGCCATGTTTTCCAAAGCCAGGTTGTGGGTTCAGCCTGTTGGGTGAAGCCAGACCAAGGGCACCGTTTGCTGGAGGATGCATAACCTGCCCTTGTTTCTGAGGTCTGAGAACCAATGATGTTCAGCAGCTCTTCACAAATGGACACCCTGCAGATGGGTGGGACTCCAGTGCCCATAATTCCCACCCACCAAGGCCACGGGCGTGATGGGAGCAGTAGCCCAACAGGTGAAAAGGCTGCCATCTGTGGTCCAGAGACGCTTTCCCCCTCTCTCTTGGACCTGGAGATGGCAGCCTTTGAGCGTCAGGATATCGATTGGGTGGCAGTGGGCGGGCGGGGATCGCTGAGACACCCTCTTGCTTGCTGTCAAAGCTCGTCGGCTTGGCAGTGTATTTCTGGATACACTTCTCTCCAGAAGGCATCCGAGAGGGAGCCCTGCAGAAATATCGCCCTCCTCCCAAGCCCCACCCCCTCGGCTCGGGGCGTCCTGGCCTTGGCACGCTGGCAGGAATGCCCAGCTCCCTTCCGGGGCTTGGCCTTTGGCTCGCTGGCTGGGGACGGAGCAAGCAAGTGACAGCTGGAGGCCTTTCTGGCAAGAAAATAGAGATTCACTGATTCCCTTTCATGGTAGTACGAAGGGGAGGGAGACCTTCCCTTCAGCCCCCGCCACGGCCTTCTCTTCTTCCCGCCACTCGGTTCCTTCCTTCTAACAAGTGAGCTTCTCTGCCCCTTCCCGCTTTGCCTCAAGAGGCATCAGTTTCCTTGCCCTTGCTGCAGTTAGGGGAGAGTGGGCCGCGGGGCTTTACGTTGCCAGCCAGGCAGCCAAGTGCTCGGCTCCATGCCCTCCGCCCGCCCCCCGCTTCTTCCCCGGCAGAAGTGTCTGGAGCAAGGGAGCCGCACAGAGGCTCAGCCACTGAGGTGATTGGCCTGGAGCTCCCCAAAGAGAGGCTGGCTCCCCCTGGAGAAAGGGGGGGGGTCTCAGGGAGCCCAGGGAAGGATGTTGGAGGCCGGCCTCTTTGGCTTCAGTCGGGCCTGTAAACGGATGCACAGTTCTTTCCTGATCCAGTGGATTCATGGCATTGTC